CCCACAGAGCCAGGGAGCAGGCCCGGATTCAAGGGGAAGAAGGTGCACCTAACACATGCTTAAGACCTTGAGTTCTGATGAACCGCTGTGGTATATTGTGGTGAGAGAGATAGAGGGATTAGGGGTTACATCATTAACAGAAACACGTTACATATTACACAACAGTCTTTCTTGAGTTGTAATATTTATATGTACAGGTGGCATATGCTCACAGGCTGAGTGGCACTATACAGACACGTTTAGTGAGTGAATAAATGGTGACCATTTTTCTGTAAAGTATGTTAATTGGTTTCTGTGGCCAGCAGATATTTTCTCCAGCGAAATATGTTCTACAAGGAGATTCAGCCAATGGTTGATGTCTGTTTATCTTTCCAATTGACTAGGATTGTTTTCTTGGCGATGGCGAGAGCAACAGTCGATATCGTTGAGACAGTCTAATACAGCAGCTAGGCTTCTTGGGTCATCCGGTCTCAGCGGGAGGTATATCTGTGCGTCGTCCACATAGCAATGGAAAGACACGTTGTGGTGGCAGATGATCTGACCGAGCGGAAGCATATAAATAGAAAATAAAATTGGACCTAAAATTGAACCTTGCGGTACACCACAGGTAATCTGAGTTTTCGAGGATGTGTAATTACCTATGGTGACCGCAAAAGTTCTATCTAAAAGGTAGGAATAAAACCAGCTAAGTGCAGTGCAATTATCAACACTTATTCAATATTATTTAGCGTTGAACAATAAAAATTTTAATTTTGATGGTATTTCAATATTGAGTCAGTGACCTTGCCGCCTGGGATTAAACTTTCTGTTTAAAGCAGAAATACCTAATTATACCTTTCTTAAGTATATCTTAACCAGATGTTTAAATACAGGTATAAACTCCTCAAACTCCTCCTACTCACCCATAAAGCCCTCCATAACCAGGCCCCCTCTTACCTCACAGACCTACTCCACCCTTACACCCCTTCCTGCAGCCTCCGCTCTTCCAATGCCAATCTTCTCACCGTCCCCAAGACCAAGCACAGAACCTGGGGGGCCAGAGCCTTCTCCGCTGCTGCCCCCACCCTCTGGAACTCCCTCCCAAAACACATCCGTGACTGCACTGACCTCCCATCATTCAAATCACTACTCAAAACTCACCTGTTCCGTTCTGCTTTTAATATTTAGCTACTTTTTTATTCATTTATTTATTTATTTGTTTTTCACTCCCATTGCTATTCCTCTTTGTCTTCGATGTCTTTTGCTGTAAATTGCTTTTTGATGTGTTTTTAACCTATTCTGTAAAGTGACTTTGAGAACTTTGGAAAGCGCTTTATAAATAAAATGTATTATCATTGTTATTATTATTATTATTATTATTATAATAAGCCAAATATACTTAGACTTTTTGTATACTTGTTGGTATAAGCCATGTACTCTTGGTAAGTGCATAAACTACATAAAAAGCAAACTGAAAGCATACTCTTTCATTATTAGTTAATAAAGTATACTAATAGCACACTTGAATAAAGTTCTTTTTTGTAAGCGAATCCATCCAATATTTGTTGAGATTTTTCAACCTGGACTGGCAGACAGAGCGACACCCATACAGCAAAGCAGCTTGCATAGTTAAAAACACACAGGACATGACCTCAGTGAGCGCGTTTACATGCACACTAATAAACCGATCATTGTCTGATTTCTGGAGTTACCTGATTATTCAAGTGGTCATGTAAACAGCATAATCCGATAGGCTTTATCAGATAAAAGCCATTATCTGATTATGAGAAATCAGATAAACACACCTAGCTTTTTCCCCAATAGTCAGATTATTTGATGCATGTATACCCTTTAATCTGGTTTCTTTCGGGTTTTGCTATTTTATACTCCCACTCCCACATTTTAGAGGGAAATATTGTACTTTCTACCCCACTACGTTAATCTGACAGCTTTTGTTTCCTTTCAGATAAAGATTTTACATAAAATAATATATTTTTATATTCTCAGTGTTTAAATTGTCACTTTTATTTTATCTTACTTATATGTTATGCACTTTGTGTGACAAGTTTATATACAATACACTTGTATATTGCACTTTGCAGTACTTTTACTCCGAATCTACCCAAAGTATGTAAAATTGGCTCCACACTGATAAACTACACATTAGAATGCTCTCACATGTATTTGTTAATGATAAAAACAAACAGTACTGTAAGAATATAAGCTGTCAGCATGATGAGCGCTTTATTTTGCAAATACTATATGACTTGCATACTTTTCGAGATTTTTCAAGGATATGAGTACCTACTGTAACAGGAAGTTTGAGTTTTATGTCATGTACTTGAGGAGAAATTCAACTGAAGGACTGAATCATGTAAACCAGGTTTTTCTGATTATCAGATTACTGAAGTGCACGTAAACGCGTCAAATCGGATTATTACCATTACCTGATTATTCCCAGTTATCTGATTATTGTGTGCATGTAATCGTGCTCAGTGTTAAGTTTTAATAAATTGCCTGCGATTTCCATTTGCATACAGACGGACACTATTTTTGCAAAGAATGCATTTTCTCTTTGACCCACTGATCCTGATTCTGCTGTTTTGTGTCTCAGCTGAGCTGAAGGAGGCAGTTCGGACGTGGCCTCACAGCGACCCGATCAGCTGGGCTCAGAGAACCCGCGCAGTCGCTCTGGTCAGACGTCTTGATCAGAGCTTCAACAAGGCCATTGCCGCCCTGCAGCAGAATGACCCCAAATACTACAGAGGTGAGAAAGACTTCATTTTCCAGAAATCCTGTGGTGTTTGATCAAATGTAACCAGACAAGCACACAAACCCTTTGGTCAATAAAAGACCTGCAGTTATAACTTAAAACAGGTAAAACCCACTGTCATGCATGAAAAACTGCCAGCTCAGGAGGCCTCTGTTGTTAATAAAATAAAATGTTAATACACGTGAATGAGCTTTAGTAAGTAATGATAATGTTGAACTAGAAAATTTCTAAAAAAAAAAAAAAAAAAAAAAGACTGCTTGCCTGATACTTGGTGTGCATTTCAATGCTAATACTACCAGTATTAAGTAAGCTGTATCTTTCAGGTTCATGAGACACATCATGTTACCTGTGTGTCAGTCAGAAAGAGAAAATACAACGGTTGAGCAAAGGCCACTGTCACAATAGCTATATACAGTACATGATAACATTATTTCAATCAGGAACACTTTTGTCTAAGATAATCTATGTCCATTTACAGTATTATATTTGGCCGGATGGCTCTGTTCTGGGGACTCTATGCCTTTCCTTGGGTCTACACTAAAAGCGTAAGGTGGAGAGAGCACACCTCTCCGCCATTCCACGTCCTTACATGGAAAGCCTAAAGCAGAGAGAGCAAACCTTCCTGCCCTTCCAGCCAGCATCAATGACAAACAGAAATGACACTGATAAGTCAGACACAACATGAAAAGGAGGAGCTGGAGTGGAGGCCGGTTGCAAAGCAGCTTGCAGAGGAAGCAGCAACAGTAGACACGTCGCAGTTTAAATAGGGCACCCTGAATGAGATTTGCCAATTGGTTACATAGGAAGGAATCATGTGATCTATCAGCTGACTCCCTTCCATCAATTAGCTGCTCCATCAGTAGCAGATGTAGCAGAGATGTGAGACAAGCTTGACATTGTGTCCTGCCTGACCTAACGCTATGCTCAATTAGTAACACCTGTGTAGAACTACCTTAAAGCTGCTGTTTGACATGTCCTGCAAGGAGAGACTAAAACAGCCACATTAAAAATGGCTCTGAGAGGAGCCTCAGAAGCTGAGGACAGACAGCCAAAGTGACTGTTTGATATTAATGTTTATCAGGAGCTCACTGAGATCAATGTCTTTTTTACAGCATCTATTTTAATGCACAGACAAAAGATGCAATCATGGAAATCCAAATGATTCCATCCAAAATATAAATTTTCCCCCTTTGGGTATTAATGAGGACAGAGGAGGGTCACACTCAATGACAAGAAGTCACTTTATGCAAGAAGACAAAACAATAATTTCAGTTAGACTGTAAATGATCATTAATACATAGTTTATGATAGTTAAGAACAGGTTTATACCTCAGTGAGAATCCCCTCCTGTGTGTCATGCAGAGTTTGAGCCCCTGCTGTCGTGGAGTTTCTGGTTGATTCCTCAGGAGTGGAGCTCCACAGATTCCAGCCTGGTGTATCCCTCTACCATGACCACCGAGTGTTACGATGAGCAGCTCAGCGACAAATGTCTGACCCTGCTGCTGGGAACCTGGTACGAACACATTTTAACAAACACCTGACATAGCATGACTTTATTTCACCACAAGCAATCTCAGGGAGACTGAGGTTCACAACCCGTTTGCCAAACACAGTCAGAGCCTGTGTCTTTTGATCACGACTACAGTCTTTTACTGACCTTAACCAGATGTAAACCATGGATCAGAAAATAATTTACAGTATTCATTTGACTTACTAAAGTCTCTTTAAACAGTGTCCACTGTCCAGCTGCTAAAAATGTGGACAAGAGGAACTCTGAGAAAATATAAATGTTGATTCTTGGTAGCTCTCAGTTATTAATGTGCCCTTGAACAGCACAGAAAATCTATACCAGGGGTGGCCAAAACTACGTCCCAGGGCCAACTGCGGCCATTTTTAAATGGCTGAGGCAATTTTTAAAAAATAGATCTCAACATGGCTTGTGCATACTTGTAATAAATTGCACTTCATGTACATTTCACGGCTTAGTTAAAACACGATGGCCAACATCTTTAATAACTAGGCTATTACAAGCAAACCCTGCTATTGCACTTATTCATTTGAACACTGGATTGTGCTACTTTACCTACAATGATTTATTACTAGTCAAAAAACATTTACCTCAGTAAACAATGCGGCGTACCAGTAAAGATGACTGACTGACTGATGTATTTTATTTCAGTCATTTCAATCATTGCACATTACAATCTTTGCATATTATCTTTGCATTATAGTACACATCAGACTTATACTCTTTTTTTTATTTTTATTTTTTTAAATAAATAGGCTACCGTAGATTGAAAAGGAAAAGGCTGAAGCTGTACAGCTTTTTTGTGCCTTCCCTTAAAGGGCCAGTGTGTAATATTTAGCATGGTTCATTGTCAAATCTGAATCTGAATCTGAATATTCTACCCATTAATATGTTTATACAAGTGTATAATCGCTACAAAATAAAATTCGTTTGGTTTTCATAGCCTTAAAATTATGCTTTTATATATACAGTACAGGCCAAAAGTTTGGACACACCTTCTCATTCAATGCATTTTCTTTATTTTCATGACTATTTACATTGTAGATTCTCACTGAAGGCATCAAAACTATGAATGAACACATGTGGAGTTATGTACTTAACAAAAAAAGGTGAAATAACTGAAAATATGTTTTATATTCTAGTTTCTTCAAAATAGCCACCCTTTGCTCTGATTACTGCTTTGCACACTCTTGGCATTCTCTCCATGAGCTTCAAGAGGTAGTCACCTGAAATGGTTT